TTAAGATTTAGTATGTGGCAATCTTGAGGCAGCTTGATGAGTATTTTTGTAAACAAAGTTGTGATTTAATTTACCTCCTCTTGACTGTCATAGATATATTGTGTTTTTTGGAGATTTAATTTTAGGGTTTTGCAGAGTGTCATTTTGTGTAATAAGTTTTCATCACTTATGCATTATTTCTGTAATCCAGAAGCTTGAAATGTGTATTTGGAATGTGTACTGTATAATTTTATCAATAAAAATGATTGATAAAATTAAAAAAAAAAAAGAACATAGGCTTCTTGCAACCATGGACTTTATCTTTGGATCTTGAGTACCTACAACTGTGCCTAGCATGTAGCAAGCACTTTAAATACCTGTTGACTGATTGATTACAGTTCTCTATATTACAATGTTTCTGTCCTAGCCATGTACTAGACCATAAGCTCCATGGAAGGAATAACTAGATTTGTGCTCAAATCTGAACTCAGCTATCCACTAGTTGTGTGCTAATGGGCCAGTTCCTCAACTTTTCATCTGTAAAGCGGGAAGAATAATTCTTGCACTAATATGTCACAGGGTTGTTGTGCGGAAAGTTACTCTGTATACTTAGAGTGCATCAAAAAGTTATACTTTATTATCTAAGTTGTGTATCTGTACCATTGGCTCTGTACACAGGAGGCATTTAACAAATGTTCTATGAAAGAGAAGAAAGGACAAGAGGAAGAGGAGCAGGGAAAGGAGGATGCTAGTTGGACAGAAGACTTGGAAGATAAAAAGAAAAATGGTGGGATGCAGAGGGAGGAGGATACTGTTCAGGCCCAGCTGCTAGGATACAGCCCCACTAGGATTTGGCAGAAACAGTACCACTTGGAATGTCTGAACCTCACACCACCCCCCCATCGTCCCCCCTCCCTGACCCCTATGCAAGCCAGTACAGCTTTCATGTCTTATTGTAAGTACCTCGGAGGAGTGGTTACAGGAGTTGACCTGCAGTCAGGAAGACCTAAGGTTGAATCTTTCTTCATACACTTGTTATCTGTATGACCCTAGGCAAGTCATTTCACAGCTCTGAGACTCAGTTTTCTTATCTGTAAAGTAGAAATAGTAAAAGCACCTACCTCTCAGGGTTGTTGTGATGTGCCTATGAGGTAATAGATATATATAGAGAGAGAGAGAGAGAGAGAGAGATGTATATGTATGTAAAGTGTTTTGCAAACCCTAATGTATTATACACGTTAGTTATTTTCATTAATAATAACAATTATTGTCTTATTTAATAGAGGGGCTTGTTTAATTGAGGTCTCTCTGTCTCTTTCTCTTTCTTTCTCCCTCTCTTTCCCTCCTTCTTTCCCTCTTCTTTCCTCCCTTCCCTCTCTCTCCCTCTTTCCCTCTCCCTCCTTCCTTCCC